AACTAAGATGAAGGAATGCAAAGGGAAAAAGTGATCTTCATAATTCATCATAACTTCTTCTGTGAAGAGACAGAGATAGAAATAATAAATACAAATATGATATAAACACAAAATATAAATATTATTAAAACAAATATACAGATATAAATATGGAAACAGATACAATTTATTCAGAAACTGCTTTTTCTAAATTTGTTCCCATGTAGGATTTTGTTCAATGGTAGTTTATCTTCCAGTCTAGAGATAATAAAAAATCCAATTCACTGTTGCTAGGGGCATTATTATTTTATCTTAATTTGAAGAAATCTGATTCTAATGCATTAAAGCTTTTCTTCAAGAGAGAGAAAGCAGAGTCTAGCAGTGTAATTGGAAGTTTTCCTGTGACTGGTTCATGACACTACTTAAAAAACAAACAAACAAAAGAAACAAAAAGAATAATTAATCCAAGACATTTACCCTTTAATTTCAAGGAGGATTAAAAAGTTGTCTTTACAGTAAGTTAGTAACGTATTAATATTCAATATCAGTCACAATTCACTATTTCTCAGTTATGTGGTTAATGTAAAAATCCAAAACGACTTCTGATTTCACCTCAAAAACCAATCAATTGGCTTTTTTGTATCTAATTTGCCTTTGAGCAGATAAGAAGCTTACAAAAGTAAAATTACATTGCTTATTCAAAAAACTAATTTCCACTGGGCTGATTTGCCACCAGCCCCTCCCCAGCCTGCAGCAATATTTTCAGATTCATTTTTCCCATGGCCAATTTTAATTCTTAGACCAATAAATCAAACCCACTTATTTCTTGAAATATTGAAGAAGCAAGAAGCTAAAAGAGGATACTTAATTTCTTGTGTAAAGAAAGAATATTGGATTTGTGTAAGAGAGAGAAATGGAGGACTAGACTGCTTGTGACTATGACAAACCGAAGTGGTCAGGAGCTGGTAGACCAAGTCCAGTGGGTCCTTAATGCAGGTAAGAAGTAGCACTGTTTGGTACCCAGCTGCACAGCAGGACCTCGAGCAACTCCTGCTTTTCATCCAGTAGCTTAGAATGGTCATCAGCTCCAGAGACATTCTGCTGTTTGCTATGTCCAAGCTCTCCTCTAGTTTGTAGACCCATAATTTTACTGGGGTGAACAAATTTACTCTCCAGAATATCTCTTCGAATGGTCTTGTAGCACCTTAATCACACTGTAATCTGATGTTCTGATATAAACAGTAGGAGAAATGTCATCCGTGCAAGTCTGATCCAAGTGGATTGACTGTGCAAGGAAGACATCATTATCTATGGCACATAGCATACAGTTAGCATAATGATGTATCAGGTACAATATAATTTATAACAGATGAAAAAGTCTGTTGATATACTGAACATATCTATTCACAGTATTTGTTCTTTAAAACTGGGTAGCTATAGCTTGTATCTTAACTACACCAGCACACACAACACTTCTGACAGGATCAGCAGAGTTACCACAGATATACATCAGTACAAATGAAAGAAAAATCTATCTCCGGGTGAAAGAGAACATCGGAGAGGGTATACAGGAGATGTGTCTCTGTGCATCATTCTAGTTTTAACACCTAAATAAAACTGGCCTGTGCTCCATTCACAGGACATGACAGATCATAGAATCACAGAATTTCAGGTTGGAAGGGACCTCAAGGACCATTTGGTACAACTTTCCTTGGCAAAAGTATGGTCTTGACAAGCTGGCCCAGCACCCTGTCCCACAAAATCTTAAAAGTGTCCAGTGAAGGAAGGCTGATGAGTGTAAACATTGCAAACTGGATAAGAACAAGATTTCACATTTATTTCTGTATTGTTTTGATGGCTCTTTTATCCAGACTAAACATTCATGGGTATCCTTTGAAAAACACTCATGAAAACCCTTCAAAACACACTTATTATTTTCCCACAAAAGGGAATAGTCACTCAATTTACAAGGACATTCACAGCAGTCACTCTTTACCCTGCCTTCACCCTCTGCCTCATAGTGGCTGAATAACTGAAAAAATTACTCAGGATATTCTCCTTCTCAAGACCAGAGTAGCAGCAGAACCATTTCCTCTGGCACGTAATCCTATGATTTTAGACACCAGGAGAGCTCTTTAGTCCCAGGCTAGATACAATATTTCACTTATACATTTAAGTAGAGTTTTTAATCTGTAATTCTCATTTTGGTTTTATATGTACATATATATATACATAAAGGGACCTGACAAAATCTACACTTTACTCAAGCAGTAACCGAAGGAAAAAAAGAACACCGTTCATTACATCTGCTCAATGCTACAACCAGTTTGTTTAAAAGAAGAGCAGGGTCAAAAAAAGAAAAAATTAAACATAACTACATATTTAAGCTTTCCATTTACAATTGCTCTAGGCTCAGTAATGTGAACATTCAGTGTAATTTGGATATAATTGAAGTCTTCTGGGATTTTAGCATGTGTCTTTTATGGAATTCTGAGTCTCTGGATGTGAGCAGACACGATATGCCACCTACTTTACTATTTTGTTTCAGAGATTTGACTTATTGAGAAGTAAGCTTAATGCAAATAAAATAGCCTTCACCTCCTGGCATGTGACAGGAATAGAGAAATTCACCAGAAAAGCAAAATACCCAGAGACTCGCTTCTCAGTGTGGTGCTCGGAAAGAATAGCAAGCATTTAAATCCAAAGCGAACCATCTGTGACAGCTCCTAAGCAGTGCCTCATTTCAGAAAGTGCAAGCCTGGGGATGAAAGTGAAACTGTACATAACTATCAATTAAAATAATATAATATAGACTTTTCTGCCTCTGGGGAGAGGGTGAGCACAAATTTCCTGGAAGCTCACTCCTTTTCATTTCCTTAGCATGTATTTTAGAGTTCAGGAGAGCTGAATCACATCTGTAGCAAGCATATATTACGCACCTCGTGGGAGAAAGGTGATAAAGAGGCATTTTCATTGTGGATCACCTCTCAGCAGTTCATATCTACAGCTGGCATAAGCTAATATAACTTTACATTAAAATGAATTCTAAAACAATTTTTAAGAGAAGAGTGACTTCATATTAGAAATAAGGTGTTCCCCATTCCCCATTCCCCATTTGGGAACTCTAAACCACTGTACCTTAGACAGTTGCATTCAGAAATGAAAACCAGAGAGTTTGTCAGTTTACTCAGCTCAGAAATAAACAGAGCAACGGCAACAGAATCACAGAATAGTTAGGGTTGGAAAGGACCTTAAGATCATCTACTTCCAAACTCCCTGCCATGGGCAGGGGCACCTCACACTAAATCAGATCACCCAAGACTGCATCCAACCTGGCCTTGAACACCGACAGAGATGGACCATGCACAGCTTCCCTGGGCAACCCATTCCAGTGCCTCACCACCCTTACAGTAAAGGACTTCTTCCTTATAGCCAATCTAAACTTCTCCTGTTTAAGCCAAGATAAGTAGAAAAACATGGAAATTCCTGCTTGCCCAAGAACTGTATATACACTGTATGTTGGCTGGCTATACCTTTGGATTTACAGGATTTAAATCAGATCAGAATTTGGTCTTCAGAGTATTCAACAGGCAATTCTGGGAAAAGTTCCAGAAGAATTCAGTCAGTAACCATGAGGACCCTGTCATATTATAAGATGGAAGTTGCAGACAGAAAAAATCATAGAATCATAGAATCGTTAGGGTTGGAAAGGACCTTAAGATCATCTAGTTCCAACCCCCCTGCTGTGGGCAGGGACACCTCACACTAAATCATATCACCCAAGGCCTCGTCCAACCTGGTCTTGAACACTGCCAAGGATGGAGCATTCACAACCTCCCTGGGCAACCCATTCCAGTGCCTCACCACCCTAACAGGAAAGAATTTCCTCCTTATATCCAATCTAAACTTCCCCTGTTTAAGTTTGAACCCGTTACCCCTTGTCCTGTCACTACAGTGTCTAATGAAGAGTCCCTCCCCAGCATCCCTATAGGCCCCTTTTAGATACTGGAGGGCTGCTATGAGGTCTCCACGCAGCCTTCTCTTCTCCAGGCTGAACAGCCCCAACTTCCTCAGCCTGTCTTCATACAGGAGGTGCTCCAGTCCCCTGGTCATCCTCATGGCCCTTCTCTGGACTTGTTCCAACAGTTCCATGTCCTTTTTATGTTGAGGACACCAGAACTGCACACAATACTGCAGGCGAGGTCTCACAAGAGCAGAGTAGAGGGTCAGGATCACCTCCTTTGACCTGCTGGTCACGCTCCTTTTGATGCAGCCCAGGATACGGTTGGCTTTCTGGGCTGTGAGCGCACATTGAAGGCGGCTCATGTTCATTTTCTCACCAACCAACACCCCCAAGTCCTTCTCCACAGGGCTCTGAATCTCTTCTCTGCCCAACCTGTAGCTGTGCTTGGGATTGCTCCAACTCAGGTGTAGGACCTTGCACTTGGCATGGTTAAATATGTATTTTTAGGCAGTAAAATTATAGTTTTATTTCTTACTGAATTTAGAGCTACACTGCAAGCTGTAGAAAACACTCAGCTAATAGAACATTGTGTATATTTATTGAATCTGGAAATTACCCCTGGGACAGCAGCTCTCCATCCTTCCAGGATGCTTTCCATAGGCACTGAGGCGCCGTTGTACATGTGTGAATACCAAGTGTGTTTTCAAGGCCTTCCATTTTATTGTTGTTATTTAGTAAGCTATTTTGTCAACTGTATAAGTATATGGTTATTTAAAAGTGCAAAAACGTGAAAGGTACTTTAAACACTAGTTTTAAACATTCAGGTATTAATCTATGGTTAAAATAAGATAGTAGTATAACAGCAGTTCAAGCTCTTCTTGCCTTGAACATGCAGAGTCCAGTTGCAGGATTGGACCACAGCACTGAAAAATCAGTGTATGCCTTTTGAGCAAATCATGGACTTACTATGAACAGATCTACTTCCTGAGAGCTACCCTAAGGCACGGCTGTGGCTGTGTCACCAGCCTGAGATCTCAGCTGTATCTCTTTCTTACAGGTATTCCTTTCAAGATGAAGAAGACATGTTCATGGTGGTTGACCTCTTGCTTGGAGGTGATCTGCGTTACCATTTGCAGCAGAACGTCCACTTTAATGAAGGAACTATTAAGCTGTACATTTGTGAGCTGGCACTTTCGTTGGATTATTTGCAGAGATACCACATCATTCACAGGTGAGTGAATTTCATTTGGGGGCAGGCTGCTTTCTTTTGGCAGAGCAGAGGAATTTTATCACATACGTGATTACACAGTTCTGTTTGTTCAACACGTCTGAAAAGTTTTCATTGTTATCCAAGAGTGGAATTTGGCTCTGAAGAGTGTTTTCTTTCTGTCCTCGGATATTCGGTAGCCCCGTATCCCTCTTATACTACCCTTTTCTTGTTCTGATCTCATACTATGATGCATGTTTTTTACTATGGTCTTTAAACAGTAAATACAACCCAAAACAACATCCTAGCTGCTTTTAATTAATTGTCAGTATTCCAGTGCCCCATTTTTCCTGAACACAAAAATGTAATCCAGTACAACAATTTCACACAACATCAGGGAACAGTCACAAAACCAAGGACTGAGAATAAGGAGAAACTTGTTTACTTGCAGAATCTGCATGAAGGTCAGAAGGAGTAAGAGAGATGATGAAATAAGAAATAGTAGAAATAAATTAGAACAACAATCTGTTATTTTTACTATGTTACAGCTGACGATCATAATACACATTTCAAAAAGGTGTCAAGCATCAGGGTCTGTTTTCCTTAAACAATCTGACATTTGACTGAAGCAGCAGGGTAAATTCTCTTTTTGTGTTAACACAGCATCTGTGAAACTATAAAATTATGGGTATCAGCCTCTGTTTCACTCATTTCAGGCTAAATTCAGGATATTCCTTCCTGATTTACAGTTGTCAGAATACAAAAATAGACAGATTTTTGTGTTGCCAAAGCTGGACGTGAGTTTCAGAGACCAAACTAAGCTAAGCTGTGCCATAGATCTTCCAGGGTCCAGTATAAACAAGTTCCTTCAAATACATTAAGTGATCGTTTTCATTCCATCCAACTACCAGAGCTGCCTCACAATTTTGCAATTAGGAACAAAAATAAAGTATGATCTGATTTTAAGGAGGTGGAGGGTCCATATGAAATCTCTCTGGTTTCAAGTGCAGTGGTAGACGGGTGCTCTGCATTACCGAAAGCTGTGCAAGACAAAATCCAGCAAATATTGCAATAGTAGTTTTGCTTGCAATTAAAACTCACACAAACATTGCAAGCAATTTCTGAATTCTTATATCTTTAGTGCACTGTTATTATTTTAGTATATTTCCATGTATTTTACATGCGTTTTCCTTTGTCAGTGAATATTTTAAAAGTGAAGCTCAGCATTTCATCTGACCTTTGTTTCTGTGCCTTAAGGAATGTTCTCGGTGAAAAGCAAATTGATGAGCATTTTTCTCACCCTCATTTTAATGAGGAGACATTTAATGCAAATAGGCTGTCAAAACATTCATTAGACAACTCAGTTCGTAATCAAAACTTGTATTTTGCTATAAGCCTGTTACTTACAAATGTTTCACAAAAGAAGCCTGTGAAAGGTGGCAGATGTCTCGAGAGAGTGAAGGACTGGAATGAAGTCATTGTGGTTGCTTATAGTTTTTTGTGACAGTGTCTGCATTGCCATGGCCCAACTGTGAAATTGGGCAAAACACTTTGTTCTCTTCTGTATTACTTAATCATGACTAGTAAGCACTTAATTTTACTTAATTGTCTCTTTTGAGCTGGTTGTAGTATAAAGTGATAGCCCTGGCTTCAACACTTCTTGGTTTGCACCAAGGCAGGGGTTCTGGAGGTGGTTCTTAGCTTCACTTGAGGGCAAGTTCTGGGATTTGGTTTTTGCTTTCACTCTACACCAAAAGCTTTTACAAAACCAAATGTGGCAAAATACCTATTTCTTTGCCTCTGGCAGACCTCACGGACTGTTTAGCTAGGATTAATTTTTAGGATGAAAAGGATCTTGTTCAGGACTCTGCTGTGTTATAGAAATTATGTTTATTTTGAGGCTGGCAGATGTGAAATCAGAGCCTTGCTTTCCCACTTCATCTCTTTCTGCCCATATCACCCAAAACTGTGGCAAGAGGAGTATTTTGACTCTTGTATTTCCATCAATTACCATAAAATCCCAAATGATCCAGATGCCAGTGAACACATTATTTAGCCAGGAGAGCCCCAGCACATTCTGCCTTCTGCCTCCCCACCACCTGGAGCAGCACTCTGTGGGATGGGTCTTCAGCTGCCATAAATCTCTGTAGCATGGCAATGCTGATTTAAATTGGCTTAGAAGCTGAGCCAGCAGAGATGAACATTGAGGAGATATGTAGCCATTACTTAATCACTGCAAACACACCATCTCGATTAGAAAGGAAACCAGTAGAACTCATTAGTGCTTATATTTCATGGTAGGAGACCTCAGCAATATCAATGTGACCACGTGCTTCCAGTCAGCATTCACACACTGACCTTCAAAACTTTATTAGATCTTTCATTTGTAAATGAATGCATCAGAAGCAAAAGGGGAAAATAGGGTTAGTGAGTCACAGAATCATTGAGAGAGCCCCTTACTAAATTTTGTCTGGGCTACAAAGAAAGAATACTTGAATGATTCATCAGACTGGGTAGGTGTATTTTCAGATTGCAGTATTATAAAGAGATGAATATATGTTGTGTGAGTCAGGAACTTAACTCCTCCTCAATATTTACAGATGTGTATGAAATGTGTTCAGGTTTCCATTACTATTGCATCTGGTGACATGCAGAATGTTTTTTTCAAGATGAACCTGCAGCTCCAGGATTTTGCTGTAAAAGGAAGTGATAATGAAAAGGACAGGAATTATCGGGCATCTACGCGTGGATGTAGAAGTGTTCAAATTAGTGCCATGCCAGTTCCACTGGAAGATGCTTTGCAATGCATCTGTATTTGCTGATGTGGTTTAGCATTGTGTACTTGGAATGCGGCAATAATTTCAGCAATAGAAGTATTGTTTCTGTAGGGACAAGTTTAACAATAAATAGAGTAAAACCCACTACTGTTCTGGTGTGCTTATGAAACCTGTCATTTTTATTAATCACACCCATGTATATAAAAATCACACCCTTATTTGTCAAGCACAATCCTGCAATAGTGGATTTATTTATTATGGCACAAAAATGAATGCTGCACTGTGTGTCTTGCTTGCAACTGTATTGCAGATGTTAGCATTTACATAACTCTTCAGACAGAGTTATAAAAACTTTAAAAATAAAAGCTAGAACTTTAAAGCCATGATTTGAAAATTATTCTGGGCAAATTCTTCACTTAACTTACACAACATCTAATTTAATAGTGAGATATCCCTAAATTGTTGATCACAGGTAATGGCTACATCACAAATCCTTATTTCCTCACAGCCTTGCTGTAGAAATATTTTTGTTCAGATTTATTAAATGAAAAATAATTATTTGAAAGCTGGATGAACAGTGTTTAGTGTAAACCTTCAGATCCAGTACACATAGAAAGGCTTCTGACAACTCATATGGTCTCATTCATCCTCAAATGTTGGATTAAATCTGGCTTTCTGCTGTTTTAAGACAGTATGACTAAACACATTCTTTCCAGTTCTGCTTGTATAATACCAATGAATAATGTGTTGGACAAAAGTTTTCCCATCAAAGGCTGAATAAACTTATTTCAGCCATGAGTAACTCAACCTCCTCCTTTCTCAAATGTTGCTCTTCATACATTTCAATGAAACCACCTGCTTTTCCACCAAGTAGGGTACCTATTTTCATTCAGCTTGTTCTTCCAGCAGTAGCTCTGGTGTTATCTCTCCCAGGATGCTCTAGCAGCTAGAGCCTTGGCTTGGTGTAGCACTGGCCTGGCAGTGCTGCTGCTGCTGCTGCTGCTGCTGCCCAACTAACACGCTTGTGATGATAAAATCACATTTTCTAAGAGGGCAAGTGTTGTTAACTGCATTGCCCTTATGACTTTTCATTGTTGCTTGACTCTGCCGGTTTTCATCTGCTCAGAAAGAAGACTGGATGTGGCAGATGTCTGGAAAGGGAATTGCAGTAACCTTCCAGCACAATTTTAGGGTACCGGACTAGCTCGTGGATCTGCATGCCTGGGGCATTTTTATTTCAGTAGGGGTTTTTTAACCTATATGTGTACGCATACATATAAACATATAAATTTTTGGTTGAAGCACAATACGAGTGGAATTGGTCTGGCTTGGTGGGTCTGCACTGTGTGGCTACTGTGATCAGTGCTGTTTTCCATTCCTTCCAATTGAGAGTAGCTCCAGGAGCTATTCCAGCTCTGAACAGATACTTAGCAGCAGGGCAGAGTGTGCAAAAGCTAATGGAAGGTGGTGACAAATCGAGCATTACATTGTCCTCTCCCTGCTGATCCACTGTAGTGTAATGGTGTGTTGCTGCTACCAGCTAGACAAGATGTACTCCTCGTTCAGCACTGCTAGGCTGGGCTATGGTGTAGAAGATGCCTGTTTGTTCATTACCTTTGAGCTTTTCAAGGTGTCCAGCAGTCCGGTGAAATAACATAATGTCTAAATGATTAAACTCTTCTTTAAAATGGGGTTTTCCAGTTTCATCCATGGCACCATATACCAAAAGAACAAGATGTAATTTACAATGCTCCTTTTATACTGTCCATTTAGTATGTAAGCAGTAAATAGGTTTGGAAATTATTTGGAAATACAGAATTTGCACTTTTTTCACAAGTATCACAGGCAGAATAGTGCCAAACTGAGATTTACCAGGCATGTTAAAAGGACACAGTTCCTTATGCATTTCAGCTCATGCTAGTATTATTTTTCATGTTGGTAAGCACGTGCAGATGAAGAATAAAATGTAGTAGAATCAGAAGTAGATGAAATAGTAAAAACCAACCATAGTATGTCTGCTATTCATAAGCACTACCAAAGATCATGACAGGTGAAGAGGCCTGTCTGTTGAGTTTTCTTAATTTGTCTTCCCATGTCTCATCCATGTCATTGTATTATGTTCTTTAAACAAGAGCAAGCCCACATTATTTCCAAGGACAAAATGAAGGAACTGAGCAATTAGTTATGTAAGAGAAGCAAATCAGAAAACATATCAAAACCAGCCCCAAAAGAGACACCATGTAAACC